GAATAAGCACAAATGCGGCTGAGCAAGCGTCTGCAATAAGGGATTGACCAACTGTTCTAATAGACGGATATCATCGAATACGAGTGGCCAGCTATAAAATAATAATATATATATATATATATATATGGGGATAGAGAGAGAGAGAGAGAGAGAGAGAGAGAGAGAGAGAGAGAGAGAGAGATCACTCATTCATCCAAATAGGGAGTATCGGGTCACAGCTTCAACACGTTAGTCATTGTTGTCCTGGCAAATAAGTTTTTACGGGATGCAGAATTGTCCGTCGCCTCCTAGAATGGTTGCCAGTTTTCCCTACTATTTAACCCATAGTTGGTGGATTCATATGTTTCCCAAGTATATTTACGCGAAAGAGAATTTAGTGATAGAGAGATTGAATATGGGTCTATAAATCATTCAGTACTGCCTGGTGGGAAATGTAAAAGAAAACCTGAAGAATTCGAAGAGAAGGAGCAAAATGGAAGACTTCTAAAAGAAATAGCCGAACGGAATGACGTAGAGAAGAAAAGGAAGTAAGAAGAAAACGAATGAAGAAAAATATGAAGATGGAAATAAAAAAATAAAAAATAAAAAGGGAAGGTAAGAAATCAGAAAAAAAAACTGTGAAAAAAAAAAGAAAAAAAGGAGAGAGATTTAAATTGAAATATGGCGTCGGAACAATGAAAGATGCATCTTGATTATAATATCTGAAATTTACACCAGTTAGTGTTCGAGTCGTCCAAAAACCAAGATGCCGAATCCTGATTATTAATGTAAGCTTTTTCATGATTCGAAGACTGGCGCAGAACAGTCTTACTATTCATATTCCCTTCCTATTTGGTCTTGTGTCCTATTAAAGGAAACAAAATGGCAACATTTAAGACGTCAAGTGAAGGGACTTCGATCAGATATTTGTCGGCTAAATATTTTCTTTCCTTTCTCTTTTGTTTTTGATTTTTCGAAAACTTCCGTTGTACAATACGTTTGACTTGAGGTCAAAATTTATTCGTTAGGAATGTGTAGCAGAAAAGAAAAAGCTGGAAACGTGCGAAGAAAAGAAAGAAGGTAAATTAGAGAGAGTGAACTGAAAGGGAGATAAACGGGGATAAGTAGAAAAGACAAATGCAATGAAAGAAAGAAAGAAAGAAAGAAAACGATAGAGCAATGTATGCGAAAAAAGTGATAGATCAATATAAGTTAATAAAAAAGGAAAAAAAGAAAGAAAAAATATATCAATGTAAGTGAAAGAAGAAAAGAAAGAAAAGAAAATAACAGATTAACGTAAGTGAAAGAAAGAAGGTCATAAAACAATACTAGGCGATTGAATTAAAAAGAGAATAAAATAAATTGATAGGGAGATTTGCAGGAAGGACGCTCGTAAAATGAAAAAGAGTGTAAACTCGACAGAAGTAAATTAAGTGAGAATATCATTGTGAGATATTAAGATCGGAAAGGAAAAATAGATGAGAACAGAGATAGAAAGGTAAGGAGACGCAGAAAAAGAGAAATACATAAAATTAGAGAGAGAGAGAGAGAGAGAGAGAGAGAGAGAGAGAGAGAATTAGAGAGTGAGAGTGAAATGGTCAGAGAATAAAAGATAAACCGAGAAGATTTAATCAGAAAAAGAGAGAAGTATTAGGCAAAGAAATTGTGAAGTCAAAGAAAAAAAAATGGCGTCAGAGATATGAAAATGACGAATTAAGAGGGAAAATAACGAATGAAAAAAATGTTTTGTTATGAGTGGAGAAACGTGACGTAGAAGGCAATAAGAATGTAGCAGGTAACATATAAATTAATTATCATATTTAATAATGAATAGAGTTGTAGGCTTTAATTTGTCCTCTTTTTCAACCTTCCTCTTGAAAATCACACGCACAAACACACAAACACGCAAACACACACACACATACACATACATACATATATATGCATTTATGAATGTATGTAGGAATGCATGTATATACCGTATTCTACATTGTCTACCCGTTTTCCTTTGTGTGTTTCATTGCTTTTGCCTGTTCGGTTGATAAATAGGATTTAAAAAAATAAGCAAATAAGAAAAGAATAAATTCGTTTGATATTTCGTTTCGTATCTTTATTTTCTTTTTTGACTGTTCCTATTGGTAAAGTTTCGTTTTTCGTCTTTTTGGTAAAATTTTCATTTTTCGACTTTACGCTTTATATTATGGTTATTTTATAAAACTTTTTTAAAATGATTTTCTTTGTTCGTGTTTTGTTTTTGTTTAATTTGTTAAAACTCCACGTTTCCAATTAGGTCTGAGGGTTTTACGAATGTAGGTTGACGTGGCTAATATTGTGACTGTGATGGCGGTGTGGGGGGATAAATAACTGCAGTGTGTGATTCCCGTGGTGGGAGGGACGGTAATGGAGGGTGAAGAATGAAGTTAAAGAAAGAGAGAGGCTACAGCTTTTTTTTTTCTTACATGAGATAGAAAAGAAAACGTGAGGAGTAGAAACAATGAGAAAGACAGACGAATGAAAAAGGCTTATTTATAAAGGAATGAAGGGAAAAGGGAGTTTTGTGAAAAATATAATTAAATATACAGACAGATAAATTAAGATCGGAATATAATTAAACACTGCATCACTGCTCGATAGAGATGTAAGTAAAGATTAAAATATTGATGGCGGTGTGTATGAAAGTCTGTATAAAATTAAATGACGGATTATACACACTAATAATATGTGTGTAGATTTATTTAAATAAATTCTTATATGTGTTTAATGTTCAAGAATTCTTAAAGTTGTAGTGTATTGGCGCGGAAAATGGATCGATGAGGGGAGTAGAAAAAACATATTAGTCTGATGCGTTCACTTTCGCACAAATGCAGTCTCTTATCCTGCAGTTATTGATTAAGTACAAGGGTAGACATGGCTTTTTAGCTTTGGGTGGTAGGCAGTCAAAGAGAAGGAAAACTCTGAATTTCACAACCGTAGAGACGTTAACGGGAAACTACTCCACTATCTTTCCCAAGAATGTATGGTAATTCACAGATAATAAAGTAAAGAAATCTGTGGAGAGATATGATCACCTATGACATCCAAAAAAAATATGGAAGTGAAAGTGGAAGAATTGTTAATGGTACTGAGGATGGCAAGCAGAGTTCAAATTTTAGTCGAAGCTGTTTGCATTCGCTTCATACTATTGCCCTTGAGAAAGCATGAAACCTTTACTTCCTAGCTAACTATAAGTGAAATATTAGGGTAGACTAATCCCTTTAGCCTTGGTAGAACAGCCAGTTTAACAGAAGGGCAACACTTGGTTGAAAAACATTCTGAAAATGCGTGTTCCTACAGAAGGTAGGGGATCATGGATCTCCACAACTATCATTCATAACCGTTATTAACATTTTTCTTTTTATCATCTTTACCAGCCCTTAGGTAAGTGTCCCGTTGCCTTACTCTGTTCCTTATTGATTTTGATATATCTTGTCAGTGTCAAATTCTCCAAGCCTTCCTTCCTCATTATATATCCAAGAAATTTGATTTCTTTTTTTGATTCTAAGTGTCCTTTTTGTTTTTATTTTCCTTATGCCTTTTTCATTGTTACTGCGTCCATGACATTCTCAGCATCCTTCTGTAGAACCCTATTTTTGTTGCCTCCAGTCTTTTCTTTATCTGTGAGGAAACTGTCCAGCATTCACTCTCGTAGAGGAAGATTGATATTACACAGCAGTTCAACACACTTTTCTTTGCTTTTCCTGTTTCTTTGTACTTTGCTTTGTGTTTGCAAGGCTTCTTTTGTTATTCGAATGCGTGTTCGGATATAGGTGTCGCATTTTCTATCCACTGTAAAAAAAAACACTTTGCGGATATTTAAATTCTGTACTTGTTTAATTTTAATATCACCAGTTCACGCTGTACTTTTCTTAAACGATCCCGTCATGAATTGGGAAGAGTCTGTATGAATATCTAGAGCAGATATGCTGAGTTAAGGTTTAATTCCTTCCTAATCTTCCGCAGATGTGCAGTTACGTATACACTAAATGGAAAGCATCCATGCAAGCATATACTCTCAAGTGATACAAAGAATTGAAATAGTTGAATAATAATAGCAAACGGTCGTAGGAAGGAATAAACAAATATGATTTTTAATGTAAAAAGAGACAAAGATAAGACACAGTGAGTTTATGGATGTTAGAGAAAATCAAAATTGAAAAGATTTCCTAGGAAAATAACGTTGATTATTTTTGTAGTAAAACTAAACGCAAAGAAGGAGAAAAAAAAAGAACAAAAACAGATAAGCCAATATACGATTACGTCACAACCTAAAAAAGGAAATCACGCACGTACATCGATACACAATTTTGTTTCTTATTTCTGTAAATAAAAGTAACCTGTGGATAAGCATGATCGAATAATATATATATATATATATATATATATATATATATAATAAATTAATTGATTTAAAATATGTTTTTTCCGCTACACAGTTCTAACCATGTTTCAAAAATGGAAGCTAAAAGCCCCGAATTTAATTTTGTAATTAAATTAAAGACATTAGTTCCATTTCATCCTCAAGCGAATTTTGGAGTAAGTTTTAAAATCACTGGGTTTTAAATACACAGCTAAAACAAAATTCATGTTTTCAAGGTTACAGATAAATCTATTTTTCTAGACAGGGGTGTCTAGGTGTTAATTATGTCTATATTTTAATGTATCAGTTATTGTTACTTTTGGTAGTGGGTAGGGGTGTATTTTTCAATGAAATCTAACTTCCGTTAAAAGCGTGCCGTCTGGATTTTTTTTTAACTTTATATTGTTACCGGGTAAAATTTTGTAAAAATAAAACTATCTATAAGAACACCGGATTATATATCTTACTGTTCTTTCTTTCTTTCTTTATATATATATATATATATATATATATATATATATATATAATATATATATTAAGGTATACAATATTTATGGGTAAAAGTGCTCAATATCAGAGATGGAGTGTATGTAAATATAAAGTGGACATTGAAGTCAACACCAAGAGGTGAGAGTCGGTTTTATACTTGAACGCAATCTTCAGGCCTGAAGTTCAGGCATGAAAGACATATACGTCTCGTAGGTATTTTTATGCATGTTTGGTGGTTGTCCGGATGTCTAACCGACAGCCATAAACTCACTGTGTCTTATCTTTGTCTCTTTTTACATTAAAAATCATATTTGTTTATTCCTTCCTACGACCGTTTGCTATTATTATTTAACTATTTCAATTCTTTGTATCACTTGAGAGTATATGCTTGCATGGATGCTTTCCTCTTAGTCCGGATGTTGATTTGTGGATGCTTTGTGTGGAGCGTGAGTGAATTTATGCCGTGTCTGTACGTAGACACATCTTAGATTCTCCAGTTAGGCATATTATAAAAGTTGGTGAGATAATAAAGTGTATCTGATTTGTGTTTATAGATGGCGAAATATCTATCAGAACTCTAAGTATTTCGTGCGGAGTTAATTGTGTTCCTTTCTAATTAGGGTGGCCTTTATAAAATAGAACTTATGGCCTGCTCTGTTTCTGCGTTATTACGATAATGTTTAAAGGTTTGTCCTAACGCAGATCGCTCTTATGTTCGTTAATGTGGGCTTTTAGCTTCGCCAATGTAAATCTTCCTACATTGTAGGAATTTTATATTATAAATCTCGGCATCAGCTAAAAATTAGTCCACCACCACATCACATGCCGGTATTTATGGGACAACCGCCAAAACATGGATAAAAATGTCTACTAGATGCAGACAAACGAATACACATTATCATCCAAATCACACGTGAACAAACAAGAATTATGATACACATATACACGAAAACTGCCTGATAGGACAGATGCATGTGAACTCTGTTTAACCAACGAGGGAGAGACAGAACAGAAATAGAGTTACCAGAGTTTCTTTTCTACTCCATATTTCATTTATTAAGGAAGCTTCAGTAAAAGCGAAACATGGTAAATATATAAATTAAATTAAATTTATTTGTTCTTTTTTTCCTATCATTCATTCGGATTCCAATCCATATTTACTTTCCAAGTATATCTGAGAAATTAAAAACAAAACACAACAAAAATATTATGGAGAATAAAGAAAAGATCATCAGCCTACAACAATCAATAAAAAACCTGCAAACTTTGCTTGGAGGAAAACATAGCTATCATTAACTTCCCAGACCAAAATAAATTACTAAATAAACGATCTGAGCTCATACCAGAATGCAGACATGAAAACAAATTTTTACTTGGTTACTTGAATGAATAAATACAAATAAACAAAATAATGTAAAGAAAAAACAAGATAAATTAACTTAAACAAATAATAAACAAATTATCAAACCACTCCCGTTAGAATAGACGAAATAGAATAAATAAAAAAATAAAATACATAAAAAAGTAAAAATAATCAACCCAAATAAATAAAGTAAATAATAATAAACAAATTAGCAAGCTAATCCCGCCAAAATAACCATCAGTAATAGACTACAAAAAACAATCCAAAAATTTGACGTAAAATAGCTATAATTGCGATATAACGATAAAAAAAACATCACTACGTTACACAAAAATCGAAACCGAAATAGTGTAAGCAAAAATATACAAAATAAAAAATGAGTAAAAAAAAAACAAATAAAAATTAAAATAAATGAACAAATTAGCAAATCGACCCCGCTAAAATAACCGTTAGAACTAATAAAAATAAGCAGAAATAAGCAAAAAACAAGTAAAAATAATCAATCCAAATAAATAAATAAATGAATTAAAAACTGCCCACCCGCCAAAATAACAGAATTAACTAAGGCCAACAATCTAAACACGAATAAATAGTTTTAATTATCTTTCCAAACCAAAACAAACTATTAAGTAAGCGACCTAATCAAATCCCCTCCAAAATTTTTTACTACATTCATAAAACATCAAAAACCGAAAAGAATAAATAATACAAAATGAAAATGAAAAACTAAAAAAAAAAAAATAAATTAACCCACACAAATAAACAAATAAACAAACAAGCCACTCCCGCAAAAATAACCCCCAGAATAGATTACCCACAATGGACCACTGACCCATATATATCAATTGTCGAGGAAAATCCAACATTCGCGGCCTGATGATTGTGTCTAGCATGAAACAGCTTGTCGCCTCTGAGTGCGTGGGTAAATTACAAGACACCCCATTCCTAAGTATTAACTCCACAAGAGTCAATACCTTTTTTCTTTAGGTTAACGATGATTAAGTCCGTCATTTTCCTTTTCCTCTTTAAACGCCATTGCTCCGGGGCCGCTTGAGGTATTGGCATGTCAAAAGTATCATAAATGACATCCATGCCTTTTTTTTCCTTCAGGAGGACTGCTCTCAGCATCGTCCGACAGGCGTTTCATGATTTGATTCAAATGTCTCTTAGGGACTGTTAATTATGTAGATCATATTTCTTACGCTTTTCTCAATTTTACCCATTTCCAAGAAAGATTTATTATCACGAAACATCCGGGAAAAAGTTTTCTCCC